TGGACAAACGTTGATATTTCATTGTCTGACAGGGATATTTGTTTTGGAATACACGGCAGTTTTTATTGTAATCTTCTCAACCTTTTTATTTTAATTTGTAAACAGCACCTCTATTCTGAATCGAAAAGAGGTTCAGTCCCAAAGGTGGAAGTCGTGGAGAGTATAATGTTAAACACTCGTATTGTAGAGCGACAAATAGCTATCAATAATGGTTCAATGTCTAAATTTAATGAAAAATGGAACAATTTCAATTATGAGTAAATCACTTATTAGCCAGATTTGTCAGCTTATCAATAATGTTCCCCCACTTCCACTTCCTTTAAGCCATCCACTTTTCATTTTTTGTAATTTTTTCTTTCTTTTTTTTTGTAAATGTATTTATTTAAAGTAAAAAAAAAAAAAAAAAGAGATACACATGTAGTACCTATATATCTAATATCAAAGCAATTGGATTTGCGGTTTTTAACAAGAAGTCGAAAATATCACCTTTTACCAAAAATGACAAAAATATTCACCAAAATTAGAGAATTGAAGATATGATCATGAAATGAACAAATCTGAGAGAGGTCTACCCAAGGTACATATACACCAAGTATCAAAGCATTCAGGCTTGTAGTTTTCAAGAAGAAGTCGAAAAAGTAAAACATTGACACGGACGATGGACGACGGACACCGGACAATCACTCATATGATAAGCTCCGCTCGACAAAGTCAAGCCTTTTACTGAAATGCAATAAAAATGTAATTAAACATCGCATAATGAATGAATTACAGTTGCAATAACAGACATAAATAATTGACTCAAGGATTGTACATTTTAATTTTAACCTTCATTTATATGTTCATCACACACAAAATAAAAAACACAGAATTGTTTTTCTCACTTTAAAAAAAAAAATATCAATCAACATCAGTAGCCAATCAGAGATGCCGTCCACTCAGTCTAACATCAATGAAAAAAATATAGAAGAATACATAAAAATGTACACAATTTTTTCCGACCAAAAATATGAGTAGGAAAATTATGTAATTCAAATGTTCATGTTTTACCTTTGTTTTTCCTGGCACAGCTGCAGCAATTTTTTCCCATCTCTCTGGAGTGTTTTTGTCAAATTTTGCTATTGCCATCTCAAACAATTTTTGATGATCTTGTCCCCATGTCTTGACTTCAACTTTTGATGCTGCCTTACAGTCTTCCTCCATCTTCTGATGTGATTTATTTCTTTTGGGGACTTTCCGATGTTTTCTCTGTACGGGACCTATATCTTCATTGTCTTTTAACTTAAGATCAGAGGTCACTGGCTGTTGATTTATTTGCAGTTCATCAAATCGTGTTGTCATTTCATCTTCTTTAATCTGCTTTCCTGTTTTGCTGGTGACTAGAGTGTTTACTCCTCCAGTTATGCCTAAATGCAGCAAGAAAAATTTTAACATCGAGAAGTATCTTGGGGATAATCATTATTATCACTGAAATGGTCCAGCTGATTCACTGAAACACTGTTAGAGTAATGAAACAGCCAAGTGTCTGAAATGTGCATGTACAAGTGTTTATTGACATAAAAAAAAAAAGGATGGTTCCAGGATGCATGAAGCAACATTTCACTTTTTTTTTTACATTTCCCATGGGAACATGGGATATTTGAACAAGTTTTAGAACCTGTATTTTGATTACTTTTCAATTCAAACTGGCTGCAAGTGTACAGTTCAACGTCAGGGGTAATCACAAATTCATTAATTGTTTTGATGAAAACATGTTCACCCCTTTTTTTTATTAGCTCTTTGTCATATACTCAGAAATTTAAACTCAGAAAATATCAAAGAATGTTAGCGATTATACATTTGTATTTTTAGTTAGCACAGTGTCCAACTACCCTGGACTAGACAACTCACCTTGAGTTCCTGCCTGAACACTTATTGCAAATGCTGATGATTTGATTTCTTTAGCTTTCTTTGATACCTGAATAACAAAACCAAATGTGTGTGGTTACATTGTAAGAAGAGAAAACAAGGAAAGTTCCAAAAATGTTACAAATAAAGAACAAACAAACAAACAAACATATTGAGTGATTTGTCAAGGTGAGAAAACTTATACCCCTGGTAGTTTGTACCATGTGACAACTCCTGACACTGAATATCAGTGTTAATGCCCGCCTTCAGAATTTATTCATTAATCTTCTATTTTGAATATTTAGCACATTTTGCTACAAACATCACTATCCCTGCATCACCCAGGCTTGTGGTCAAACACAATTACCTGCAGACTAAGCTACAACCAAAGTATAACCGTTCCCTAAACTTTATTCTGTGATACACTCACAGACAGATAGATGAATAGAGAGACTCAGAGAGGTAAATATATAAGTCCACATTTTTGAACTTTGCTCGAACAGAGAATAATAAATGCATACTTCAATTAAAAATAAGGTTCATGACCATATTTTTATGTTTTTTTAAAATGGAAAACTCTTCAAAAACAACAAACAGTATTGATCTGCATGAGGTTAAACTCAATTGTTATCGATCACCTTTTTAGCAATAACATGTTTATATTGATCCATGTGTTATCTACAAGGGTCATGACCTTTCAGCAATAAACTAATGTGGTGCAGGGAGAGATGTCTCTGAAGATTTGATTCGTTGATAGATTAATTCACACAACAATACAAAGACCAAATATTTGGTTTTCTATATGTTTTAACATTTTTATCATGGGCAAAACGGGAAAAATTATTAATTTTTTATGAATTTCATCCAAAATTTGCATTTAACTGGATAATACAATGCTGAGTAAATGGTTAACTTAGTAGAGATAAATAACTGACCCAATTTCAGATTGAAGACAATGTCCAGCATGTTAATACCCATGAGCAAACAATACTAGTCATTTACTGCCAAGCTACACACATGGAGTTCCATAACTCCATAACAAAATAACTTACTCATCAAACCGACCAAGACCGTTCTGTACACATCCAGTAGTTGGGGTAAATGATCACAGATATTTTACATTAAAAAAAATATATAATAGAGAAAATATCAAAATGTTAACTGTCTACAAACTCTAAAATGATGAGTGACCACCGGTAAGTCACTTTAAAACTACCTTCCATCCAGCCTTCAACATAAACTTAAATAATTCATTCATTCACAAACATTCTAACAATTCTAATTAAATTTTTGTATTTTTATTTACACCAGAAAATTAAAATATACATAACAATTAATTTTTCCTTTTTACTACTGCAAAGGATTCTGGTGTGGGTCATGGAAATAGATCATTTGAGCTAGTTGAGTCCTTGACCCTGAATAAGAATTAATATTGTACTGAAATGTGTAATTGAAGGCTGAATTTTAGTTTCCTGAGACTATTGAAATAGACATTTTATTATATTCAAGCTTAAAGGGGCACCTTCCAGTTAAGCCTAATCTCACAACAAATTTACTTTCTGGATTAAAATAACAATGGATAACAAAAGATAGATTAACATTGTAAACAACATAAACAATAGTGTCCCATGATTCTTTGGTGCAATCCCTGGGATTGAGCGGTTCCCCTTTAACTTCATGCCTAAGGATAGGCAGAGAGGCAAAGAATTTCACATTTTGCTCTGTTGTTGGAATAATTAATAAATTAATTAATACATAAATTATTTCATGTTTACCTCATTAACTGGTCTTCCAACTTCTTCGGCTATCTTCTCCCATCTAGCAACAGTGCCCCCTGGATACTTTGCCATAGTTTTAGCCAATAATGAAATGTCATCATCAGACCATTCAACCTTCTGAAACAGTAGAATAATGAATCTAAATGCTGCATAATTTTCATTATAAAATTAAGATACACTGTAAATGAAAAACAAAAATGTGATGAAATAAAATAGCATAGGATTAAATAAAATATAGTACAAGTCATTGAAAATGACACAGTCCCCGTTAAATTTGTGAAAGTTCTCTTTGAGCTTGTCATATTAAAGTGGAGGGGTTGTTGCGAGCGTGTCCTTGAAACTTGAGTCCAAAGTGGCGTATACAACAGATTGTTTATTTATATCAAATTCGAACATGTGTTGCGTGACAACCCCTCCGGTTTAAGACATAGCAAAGAAAAATATAGATCATAAGTGAAAACATGTCCAAGTTATCACATTTTAAACAAACAAGACGACTGCCATATTTGATCAAATTGCAAATTGAATTGACAACACATGTACATGTATTCATTTATGACATGCTAAGTATCAATGAAAATGATACATGGGTGACCGTGACATGAGAGATATAGTAATATAACCAAAAATAAAAACCGGCGTTATTCGGCCATCTTTGATCAGATTATGAAACAAAGTGACACGTATGATCTATGTGCCAAATACGAATGAAAATGGTACATAAATCTTGGAAATATAGTAGTAAGGCCAAAAAAGTCAGATGGCTGTCAATCGGCCATCGTTGATCCGATTTTTAAAAACAAATTGTCATGGACATGTATCCTAACATGTATAAAGTATTTGCCAAATTTGAATGAAAACTGACAAAGCATGTCCAAGATACCACATTTAAAAAAACAAAACAAGATGCCTGCCAGTCGGCCATCTTTTATCCAATTGCGAAAGAAATTGTCATGGACATGTATCCTAACATGTATAATCGAATCACTAAACCAATGCATATGCATATGTCCCACATAAAGTACTAGGCACATGCAAAGAATGAATGGAATCGGTCCAACGGATTCTGAAATATGACTCTGGACGGACGTACGGACATACAGACGCACGGACGGAGACTGAATTATAAGTCCCCGTTTTCAGAATTCGTCCGAACGGGGACTAAAAAGATAGAAAAGAGGGAGTTAAGGGCATTATGGTGACATTCAGTGAGAATTCCACTGATCACATGAAATTACAAGAAATACTAATCATGTTTAAATCAAGTGTATTTGAATACAAATTAACGTGAAATTAAAAGAAAAGTTTCTGTGATCGCAAATTACACTGAGGGAAAAATAGTACAAATAACGCTTAGAGGGAAGGAACACCGCAGACTACATGTAGAAGATGTTCTGAACCACGTACTACCTAATGAACAGCGCCCTCACAGGTTAGCCTGCCAACACAGAAACTTTAACTTTTACATCTTCTTAGCAGAGATGTTTTAGGTGATGGTATAAATTTTTTTTTTAACCCCAAATTACAAAAGTTTCAACGAAAGAGGATACTGCAGATATAATTATGGTTATAAAATAAACAAATCTTCTAGCAAGCTACCTACACAAAAAGCATAAATGCAATCAATCTAGTCCATCACACAAAATGTTGATGAGTGCGAGAGAACAATGACAGGTACATATATTTAGTACTCAATCATATTTGTTAACAGTGGTACTAAAAATACTTCATATATTTATACATTAGCATTTGCACGACATCAACAATAGTATTTTGTAAATCACCTTTAATATCTGTTTCTCATGGCTCTTCTTCAACGTCATCTGTATTTTTAGTGGCAGTATATGACACTGGTTCAAGATTCTCTAGCATTTTGTACTCTACATTTTCAAAATGAATTTTTGTATTTCTCTTCGTTCTCCTTTTTTCATCTTCTTCTGACTTATCATCTTCCTTCTATCTGATCTTGATTCCTGTTTTTCAGTGAAATGATGTAATCTTTCAAGAAAACGATGCTTTCTGGAGTTGCCTTGGCAGTTGCTATTATAAGTCGATAAATTTGGAAAGGAAGTAAGTTTTTGATTTCAGGTTTGGGAATCGCGTTCATCTGTTCATCCATGTAGTCATCATCACCATTGTCACTGTGTTTGGAGTCTTTTTTCTTCTTTTTGGGTTTTCTTTTTCGTGATAAGATCTCTTCCTACAAAGTAAAAACAAATTACTTGAATTTTGAGGTCAATGTCATGAACACAGTCACACAGAAAAAACTTATTCACCGCATGGCAACCATCACAGTGAAAACAAAGGCCAAAAACTTTAGGATGGTTGTTGAGACAGTCTAACAAGATTACCCCTGCGTGTATAACGCATATACATTTGATTGTTCAGGATTACTTCAAAGTTGGGTTTCTGTTGTTTTCTCAAATTTACACCGGCTCTTCGCTCGGCTTTCCACGTTCCTAAGCAGCGCGCGCAGAGTCCATAGAAATACGCGTTACATTGGTGCGCATCATTAGCAACGTGGAACGTCTTGTGACGTAGCTCCACCCCGGGGATATCTGAAGATAACAGATAAATTTCATTGATGAATCGTGTAATCTAGGATCCTTTTGATTGGCTGTCAATACTTAGTGGCAGGTGGTGGTGTGCACCTGTATTTTCACCTTATTGCTCATTTTATTATGCTCATCATCAAATTCCTGTGAGTGAATCTTACTCCTTTTAGTTGATTAAACCCATCCACTGCTGACATTGTTTTATCCCATTCATTTTGGCTACCAGTGGAGGCCTTCAGAAGGCAATGTACTAAAGCATGTCACGTTTCTACAGATTTGTTAGTCATGGAAACTATTTGTTTCATTATGATTGTTTAGTGAGAACACAGGGAAACGTGTTAAAAACCAGATACTAAAAGTTAGTTTGCGAAGATGTTAAATTGGTTTGAAAAGGTTTTTAAACAAACAAATACAGTAAAACACTTTATTTTTAATAGTTGGAATTGATTTTTGCTGAAAAGACATTTTTGGTGCTTTTTGTATGGAATTTATTTTCACTGATTTTTGACAAGTTGAATGTAAAATATAGGAAACAAGTCATTGTCAATGACACGTCCCCGTTCCGTTCATATTTGAGTGACATATACATTCAAAGCAGATCATGACCGAAATGCACCTGCATATGTACAACACATTGTGCTAAATCTGAACAAAATCCATCCATGCATGACTGAGATCCGGTTCTGGAATTGTGAAAATATGTGATTTTGATGCATTTTCGGCCTTAAAATGGCCATCATTCCGCTATTGTTAAGCAGATCATGAAACAAATGCACATATCTATTTGTGACATGATGTACCATGTGTGTGTGAAGTTTGAACTTGATCAATCCAGACATGTCTTGGATACGGATCCAGAACTGAATTCTTTAACAAAATGGCCGCCAGTCGGC